GAATCAACAAAATGCAACTTCACATTCTAATCCAGACAAGCAGCATTCCATGTTTCCTCCTTGTCGGCTAAGCACATGGCTCTGCTGCATCTCAATCATCATCATCAAGACGGCTATTGGATCTCCACGAGTCTTTTTCTCTAGCCTATAAGTAGATGGTCTCAATGGCTCTAGTGAACCAAGACACTCCAATCCTCAACAATCCTATTGCATCATCTCCAAGCTATTTTGTTTTAACCAATTGCCAAGCCATGCTTAGCCCAAGGAGACTCCTTGAGATAGCAAGGAAGTGGCGGAAGATGGCTGCCTTAGGGCGGAAAAGAATCTCATGGCCAAGAAGGGATGCTTCTCGAGAGTCTAATACAAAAAACACATCAATTGCCAACAGAGGCCACTTCATCGTGTATACGTCTGAAGGAAGAAGATTCACAGTTCCCTTGGCATTCCTCGGTGCTAGGATGTTCCAAGAGCTCCTAAGGCTATCAGAAGAAGAGTTTGGGTTTTCAGGTGATGGACCTATCTCACTGCCTTGTGATGCTGTGTTCCTGGAGTATGTTCTATCCCTGCTTAAGAAAAGAGGCCCTAAAGATGCTGAGAGAGAAATGCTAATCTTCGGTTTCATGAGACAATGCTCAAGATCATCACTAGACAAAGTAGGAAATAGTCAACAACTAGCGGTCTTCTGATGATCATGATCCAGTTGTATATTCTATCTTGTATTCTTCAAGATTTGTGATCTTGCAAATGGATGTCAAATTTTCCTTTGTGAAAGAAGTTGATAGCTTCAATCAAAAGGGCATAAATTTAGCGTCTCTAGGAAATCTGTGCTCAACTTCATTCCATCTGTATCATCCTAAACTCATGAGTTGTGATCAGAATGTTATCTCAAAATTCAAATGACCTAGCAAACGAGTTATCCATTAACTGTTGGTTAGTCTCTATAAATAAGAATAAGAAGGAAAAAAGAAGTAAAGCAGAAAAAGATATATATGTTAAGATGGTGATATCTACTGACATTAGCTTGTTCCTTAGCTTTTTTGTAAGCCAAGGCCACAGATGGGATAAGGAAAGGAAACTTAACTCTGAATTTTCTAGATGAGTGTTCCTCATGCTGAGGCAAAAGTACTAGAGACTTGGGAGTCAATGAGGTAGCAATGTTGAATCCAACTGCAAATGATAAGACCTACAAGGAGTGTTTGAAAATTGTAAAAGGGAGTCACTGACTATTGATGGGTAAATTTAAAAGAAGTGGCCTGCAAAAATAATCAAGGGATCTTGAAAAGAGATCTCCAAATCACAGGTTAAATACATGTTTTAAAGTTGCCATATAATTTGACAGCAAGATCCATAGATCATTATTTAGATGACCAACACATAAGTGAGCTAAAGTATCAATAACTTTGCATGATGGATTTCACAATGAAGTTCACTTGGAGTACAAGCACTCTGTGACCATTTATCTTATCTTCTCACTGCATCACTACTGTTTGATCAACTATACAGTGCTTGACAATTTCAAGTTTGGTACTGTTGTTTAAGACATGAGTAAAACAAACGCCTGAGGAATTCTTAGCACCAAGGCAGTCAGATCTAGGTAGTAGAGAAGTTTCATCTGATTCTTATGATATATCTACTAGATGGCAGGCTGAAAAAACCTAATTTGCCCACGAGGGAGAACAAGGCAAATGGCCAACCAAATCCATTGTCACCAAGGTAGTCAGATCTAGGTAGTAGAGAAGTTTCATCTGATTCTTCTGATATATCAACTAGATGGCAGGCTGAAAAAAACTAATTTGCCCAAGTAGGGAGAACAAGGTGAATGGCCAACCAAATCCATTGTACTGCCGACATTATGCTCGTAACTATGAGCACATGAGTATGTACTCCATACAAACATATGGTACAAGGTCATGGAGGCAAGTGGTAAGATCCAGAACATTAACCACAAAAGATGAATATTACTTCATACACTTGTCTGTATAAAATTCAAAGCACATGAATAAATGTAGATGTAACAGGATGACATGCAGGTGGAGTACAGGGTAATGAAGATAAGTGCAAAACTCCAGAATATTAATCATCAAAACTGACAAACTACCTCATGTGCTCAAGTCTGTTTATGTTACAAAGAAAAAGATCCACTTTGATGTAACAGGATCGCTTGTAGGTGGACCTTCCTGGAACCAACAATAAAATCTATTATACTTACAGGAGCTTCAGCCATGGAGTAACTAAAAGAGACAGACAAATAATTGGGACAAGAGAAGCTTGACTCATCTGATAAAGAATATTCCTTATTGATAGTTCAAATATGACTTGCATTCAAATTTAAGGATACACCACAATTGGAATTTTAACAGACTAGACCAACATCCCGGCTAGTTAAATTCCTGAGAAGGAAAATACATTGCTGACCACTTCAATATGTTCCATCAAGAAAAAGTAATATCACAAGATAATCCAAACATGACATTTTCTCCATCTGCCAAGTGCCAAGCACATGGCATTGTCATAATTAGAACTACTATAGAAATTTCTTGATCTTTCAAGTGGGTACTAAAAAAATGATTGCGTTCTAAGAGTTGACAGGTCCCTAGGCGTGCATTATTAGGAAAATACGGAATGGAGCACTGATGGAAAATCCATGTTCCAGTACTTTCCATCAAAACATATTTAATTTCTTTAAAGTAAATTTATAGACACTTCCAATTAAATAAAGCAATTTGAGAGGGACAGCATCATGTGCAGGCAGGCCTTGAAGGACTACTGTCACTACTCAACTAACAACAAAATCACTATATATTCAGACATGAAAATCTTGTTATATCAGTGAGAAAGCACTTGCTATTGATTATTTGGTGACCAGTCAGGAAACAAAATTCATTGCTAGCCACTCAAGTATCACAATCACCAAGATGAGGAAACTTCACATTGTATCCAGACATGCAGCATTCTACATTTCCTCCTTGTCTGCTGAGCACATGGCTCTGCTGCATCTCAACCATCATCAAGAGTGCTATTGGATTTCCATGAGACTTTCTCTCTAGCCTATAAGTAGATGGCCTCAATGGCTCTAGTGACCAAGGCACTCAAATCCTCAGCAACCCAATTCCAGCATCTATAAGTTATTGTGTTTTACCAATCAGCAAGCCATGCTTAGTCCAAGGAGACTCCATGAGATTGCAAGTAGGTGGCAGAAGATGGCTGCCTTAAGAAGGAAAAGAATCTCATGGATGAGAAGGGATGCTTCTCCAGAGTTCAACACAAAAAGTACATCAATTGCAGAGAAAGGCCACTTCGTTGTGTATTCCTCTGAAGGAAGAAGATTCATGATCCCGCTGGCATTCCTCGGTACTAAGATGTTCCAACAGCTTTTAAGGTTCTCAGAAGAAGAGTTTGGGTTTTCAGGTGATGGACCTATCTCACTGCCTTGTGATGCAGTGTTCCTGGAGTATGTTTTGTCTATGCTTAAGAGAAGAGGCTCTAAAGATGCAGAGAGGGAAACGTTGATCTCTGGTTTCATGAGTCATTGCTCGAGAATTTCACTGTACAATGTAGGACATAGTCAACAGTTGGTGGTCTTCTGATGATCACAAACCAGTTGTATATTCTTACTCGTATAGTTCAAGACGTGTGATATTGCAAACTGATGTCCAATTTTCCTTTGTGGTAGGGATTGAGAGGTTTAACTGAAAGAACACAAAGTTAGCATCCCTTGGGAATCTGTGTTTAATTTCATTCAATTTTTGTCATCCTAAAATCATGAATTTGTGATTAACATGCTATTTCAAGAATCCTATTACCTAGCAAACAAGTTCTCCAGTGACTGCTGGTTAGCACCTACATCCAAAAATAAGATGGTTAACTAACGGGAACTAAATTTACATAAAGTTGATTTGAGTACAAGCACTCTGTGCCCGTTTACTTATCTTGGCATTGCATCGCTACAATGCGATCATCTACACAGTGCATGATAGGTTCTGTATTATCTGAGGAAGTCTTAGCACCTACGTTTGAATTTAACATTTTGATCAATAGACATGGCAGAGTCTTAATAAATGCGAAGAACATTTCGATAATTTGTGTCTCACTAAGGTCATAAAATCTAGGTAGTAGAGGAGTTTCATCTGATCCTTTTATGAGAAGAAGTTTCACCTAATTACTATTACATTTCAATTAGATGAGGCTGGAATAAACTAAGTGGCACATATGAGTATATGAAATGCCCAACCACATCCATGTTACTGTCGACATTATGCCCATAAGTAATGAGCACATGGGTCTGTAAATGTGGTAGAGGATTATGATGGAAAGTGATAAGCTCCAGATTATAAAGCACAAAAAATTATAAACTGCGTCAGGTACACTTCAAAGCAAACCAACCAATGCAGATGTAACAGGAAGAAATGCAGGTGCATATAATGAAGGAAATAGTTAAGCACCAGAACATTAATAATCAAAAATGAAAAACTATTTCACGTGCAAAAGTCTATATACACTAAAACCAAACAGACCAATGAAGATGTAACAGGATGACATGCAGTTGGACCTTCCAGGACTATTAAACCAATAACAAAATCTATTATACTTGCATTAGAAGGTTCAGCCATACAATAACTATAGAGAGAAAAAAAAAAGAACAAGAGAAACTTGGTTCATCAGATATGAAATATTCCTTGTTGATAATTCAAAGACCACTTACATTCCAATTTAACGATATAGATTAATTGGAATTTTAACAGACTGGATGGACATGTCGACTAGTCATTAAATTGCTCGGAAGGAAAAATGCAATGCAGACCACTTAAAAATTGCTCCAACATGACAAAGTAGTATCAACTATCAAAAACATAATCCAGACACAACATTTTCTCTTTGTCTGCTGAGCACATGGCATTTCATAGCTAGAATCATTATAAGAATTCTTGATCCTTCTAAGTTCTAAGTGCTCACCAAAAAATTGATTTTATTCAAGAGTTGACAGGATTCAAAAGTCTGCAATATATGAAATATGGAATGGAGCTTTGAAGAAAATTATAATTTCCAGTTTGTCAACCATAAAAAAATATTAAATTGCTTTGAACAAAATTTGTAGGCACTTCCAATTAAATCAAGCAATTTAAGAGGGGCAACATCATGTGCAGGTAGGCCTTCAAGGACTGCTCAACTAACAACAAAATCTATATATATTCAGACATCAAAATATTGTAGTTATATCACCGAAAAGGCACTTGCTAGTGATTGGTGGACAGTCAAGAAAGAAAGTTCATCCATAGCCACTCAATTATGGTCCACAAATCACCAAGGGAAGGCAACTTCACATTTTTATTCAGACATGCAGCATTTCATATCTCCTCCTTGTCTGCTAAGCACATGGCTCTGCTGCATCTCAATCACCATCAACAGAGCTATTGGATTTCCACAACTCTTTTTTCTCTAGCCTATAAGTAGATGGCCTCAATGACTCTAGTGTCCAAATGCCATTGCAACATCTCTAAGGTATTGTATTTTAACCAATCAGCAAGTCATGCTTAGTGCAAGGAGACTCCTTGAGATAACAAGGAAGTGGCAGAAGATGGCTACCTTGGGGAGGAAAAGAATCTCATGGCCAAGAAGGGCTGCTTCTACAGAGTCCAAATCAAAGAGTACATCAATTGCAGACAGAGGCCACTTCATTGTGTATTCCACTGAAGGAAAAAGATTCGCAGTTCCCTTCTTTGATACTAAAATGTTCCAACTCACAATGATATCTCAACATTCAAATTACCTAGCAAGCAAGTTCTCCATTAAATGCCGGTTAGTCTTTACAGCTAAAAACAAAAAAGCAAATAAAGACATAAAAATATTATATTGGAGGCAATGGTATGTTATGTTGACAACATATACTGAGGAGGGATATGGAAACTTAATTCTGAATTTTGCTACATGATAGCTGTTCATGCAGAGGCAAAAAGTATTTAAGACTTAGCAGTCATGTTTGTTAAGGCCGAGATGTTGAATCTAACTGCAAATTATAAGATCTACTAGTTTCAAATGGAATTACTAATTGTTGGAGCATAAATTTAAAAGAAGTGCCACCAAGGTTAATCAAGGGATATTGGAGAAAAGAATCTTCAAATCACAGGTTAAATACTTCTATGGAAGTTGCCATTTAACTTGACAACTAGAACCATAGATTGTTATTTAGATTATCAATACTTGATTGTAATAGAATATAAGGGAGCTGAAAAATGATAACTTTGCATGCCAGATTTTGTAATGCAGAAAATTCAACATTCACTAGTAGAGCAAAACCTACATGAAGTTAATCTGATTACAAGCACTCTCGGGCTCTCGGCCAAGTATCTTATCTGGCATTGGGTCACTCTGCAGCCGATTATACAGTGAATGATAACTGGTACTCTTGTTGGGGACCTGAGCGATAAGGCAAGTGTCTGAGGAAATCTTAGTACTGAAGCTTAAGTTGAATGCTCTGATCAGTTGACATGGCAAAATTTTGGTAAATGTCAAGAACGTTAGGATAACCTGTGGCTCGTTAAGGTAGTAAATTCTATGCAGTAGAGAAGTTTCATCTGATTCTTATGATATATCACTTAGATGACAGGCTAGACCGAACTAAATTGTACATATGCCCACCAGAAAAAGGCAACTGCCCAACCAATTCGGTAAAATTGTCAACATTATGCCCATAACTAATGAGCACATGGGTCTGTAGGACTCCATATATACATATGGAACAGGGTCATGGAGGCAAGTGCTGAGCTCCAGAACATTAACAACAAAGATGACAAATTACTTCACATGCTTATCCATATAAACTTCAAAGCACATGATCCAATGTAGATGTAACAGGATGACATGCCGGTGGAGTGCAGGGTCATGAAGATAAGTGCAAAGCTCCATAACATTAATAAGAGAAAATGACAAACTGCCTCATGTGCTCAAGTCTGTATACACCTCAAAGCAAAAGAACCAATTTTGATGTAACAGGACCACTTGCAGGTGGACCTTCCAGGACTATTGAATCAACAATAAAATCTATTATACTTACAGAAGCTTCAGCTATACTATAATATAACGAGACAAAAATATATAGGAAAAAAAAAACTAGCCTCATCAGATATGATATATTCTTTATCCAAAGTTCAAATATTCACATTCCAATTTGATGAGATACCTCAATTGAAATTTTAAGACTGGGCCAACATGATGACTAGTTGTTAAATTGGTGAGAAGGAAAATGCATCGCTGACCAATTGAGTATGCTCCCCCAGGACAAAGCAATATCAAAAAATAATCCAAACATGACATTTTCTCTGTGTCTGCTAAGCACATGGCATTCTTATAACTGGGACCAATATAGGAAATTTTTTGATCTTTTGAAGTGGTTACTAAAATATGATTGCATTTTAAGAGTTTACAGGTCAAAGCCTGCATCATGGGAAAATATGGAATGGAGGTGTAAAGAAAAATCCAAGTTCCAGTTCTTTAACTATCATAAGTTATTAGATTGTTTCGAACTAAATTTATAGACACCTCCAATCAAATGAAGCAATTCAAGAGGGACAGCATCATCTGTAGGTGGGCCTTGAAGGACTACTCAACTAACAACAAAATCTATATATTTTCAGACATCGAAATCTTGTAGTTGTATCACCAAGAAGACACATGATATTGATTATCTGGTGGGCAGTCAAGAAACAACATTCAATGCTAGCCACTCCAATATGCTCCACAATCAACAAGGCAAAATCACATCTAATCCAGACATGCACCATTCTATATTTCCTCCTTGTCTGCTGAGCACATGGCTCTGCTGCATCTCAACCATCATCAAGAGAACTGTTGGATTTCCATTATTATTTTTCTGTATCCTATAAGTAGATGGCCTCAATGGCTCTAGTGACCAAGGCACTCAACTCCACCGCAATCCTATTCCAGCATCTCTAAGGTATTGTGTTCTAACCAATCAGAAAGCCATGATTAGCTCCAGGAGAATCCTTGAGATAGCAAGAAGGTGGCGGAAGATGGCTGCCTTAGGGAGGAAAAGGATCTCATGGATAAGGAGGGATGCTTCTGCAGAGTCCAACACAAAAAACACATCAATTGCAGACAGAGGCCACTTCGTCGTGTATTCCTCTGAAGGAAGAAGATTCATGGTTCCCTTGACACTCCTCAATACTAGAATGTTTCAAGAGCTCTTAAGGCTATCGGAAGAAGAGTTTGGATTTTCATGTGACGGACCTATCTCACTGCCTTGTGATGCTGTGTTCCTGGAGCACATTCTGCCCCTACTTAGGAAAAGAGGCTCCAAAAATGCAGAGAGGAAAATGCTTATCTCAGGTTTCATGAGACATTGCTCAAGATCTTCACTGTACAAATTAGAAAGTGGTAAACAACTAGCTGTCTTCTGATCATCATGATCCTGTTGTATATTCTAACTTGTATTCTTCAAGATTTGTGATATTGCAAATGGATGTCCAATTTTCCTTTCTGGTACAAATGAATAGCTTTAATTAAATGATCCCATATTTAGCATCTCTGGAAAATCTGTGTTCAATTTCATTTCTTTCTTATCATCCTAAAATAAAGTTATGATCAAAATGCTCATCCAAACTACCTAACTACAGCTGAAAATAAGAAGGTAAATTAAAGTAACAAAAAATATTGTATTGGACGCAATGAAATGTTATGTAGATAACATATAATGGCATTAGCTAGTGTAAAACAAGGCAACTGAAAACTTTTGTTTAAGTGAGAAGGGATAAGGAAACTTAATTCTAATTTTTTCTAGATGAGAGTTTATTCATGCTAAGGCACGAGCACTTAAGATTTGGCAGTCAAGTTTGTTGACATAGAGATGTTGAATCTAACTGTAAATGATAAGATCTACAAGGAGTGTCTGAAAATTGTAAAAAATTGAGTCACCTATTGTTGGAGGATAAATTTAAAAGAAGTGGCCTGCAAAAATAATCAAGGGATATTGAAGAAAAAAATCTTCAAATCACAGACTAAATACTTGTTTGCAAGTTGACATATAACTTGACAACTAGATCCAATCAGATCATTGTTCAGATTATCAACACACAATTGTAATAGACAATATGGGAGCTGAAAAATAATAACTTTGCATCTCAGATTTCACAATGCTGATAGTTCAACATTCACAACCGTTTGAGTAAAAGCACACTGTGGCCATTTCACATTTCTTGACACTGGATCACTACTGTTTGATCGTCTATGTAGTGCTGCACAATTTCAAGTTTGATACTCCTACTAAGGACAGAGTGATATAACAGTGTCGAGGAATTTTTAGCACCAAAGTTTGAGTTGAATGTCCTGATCAGTTGAGGTGGAAAAATTGTAGTAAATGTTGAGAAGTTTTTCAATTGTGGATCACTAAGGTAGTAGAGTCTAGGTAGCAGATAAGTTTCATCTATTTTTTATAATATATCATACCCGCCATCACATGGGTGTGTAAGACTCCATAGAAACATATGGTACAGTGTCATAAAGGTGAAAGCTAAGCTCCATATAATTAATCGTCAAAAATGACAAACTACCTCATGTGCTTAACTATGTATACACTACTAAGCAAACAAACTAATGTATATGCAACAGGATAACTTGCAGTTTCCAGGACTCTTCACAAACAATTAAATCTACATACTCACAGAAGCTTCAGCTATATAATAACTTAACGAAACAGAATAATAAATAGGACGAGAAATAGGACTCGTCAAATATGAAATAGTTCCTACCAAAAGTTCAAATGTGAGTTACATACCAATTTAATGAGAAACACCTATTAGACTTGTAATAGACAGGACCAACATGTCGACCAGTTGTCAAATTGGTGAGAAGGAAAATGCATTGTAGAATGTAGACCACTTAAATATGCTCCATCATGACAAAGTAATATTAAAAAAATCAACATATAATACAAACATGGCATTTCCTCCTTGTCTGCTGAGCATGTGGCATTGTCATAGCTAGGACCGTTATAAGATTTTTTTTATTTTTTGAGGTGGTTACAAACAAAATTGATTTCATTCTAGGAGTTGACAGGTCCCTAAGCCTGCACTACAGGAAACTATGGCATGGATGAAGGAAAATCCATGTTCCTGTACTTCATTTGCCAACAAAATATTAAATTGCATTGAACTAGACACTTCAATCAAATGAAGCAATTTAGGAGGGAAAATATCATGTGCAAGTGGGCCTTCAATGACACCTCAACTAACAACAAAATTTGTATATATTCAGACATCAAAATCTTGTAGTTATATTACTGAGAAGGCACTTGCCACTAATTATTTAGTGGACAGAAAGAAACTCCACTGCTAGACACTCAAATATGACCTACAATCAACAAGACACAGCAACCTCACATTCTAATCCAAATATGCAGCATTCCACATTACCTCCTTGTCTGCTGAGCACATGGCTCTGCTTCATCTCAACCATCATCAAGAGAGCTCTTGGATCTCCATGAGTCTTTTTCTCTAGCCTATAAGTAGACAGCCTCAATGGCTCTAGTGACCAAGCCACTCAAATCCTCAGAAACCCTATAACAGCGTCTCTAGTGTATTGTGTTTTAGCCAATCAGCAAGCCATGCTTACCCCAAGGAGACTCCTTGAGATAGCAAGGAAGTGGCAGAAGATGGCTGCCTTAGGAAGGAAAAGAATCTCATGGATGAGGAGGGATGCTTCTCTAGAGTCCAACACAAAAACCACATCAATTGCAGATAGAGGCCACTTCATCGTGTATTCCTCTGAAGGAAGAAGATTCATGGTTCCCTTGGCATTTCTCAGTACTAGGATGTTCCAAGAGCTCTTAAGGCTATCAGAAGAAGAGTTTGGGTTTTCAGGTGATGGACCTATCTCACTGCCTTGTGATGCTGTGTTCCTGGAGTATGTTCTGTCTCTTCTTAAGAAAAGAGGATCTAACAATGAAGAGAGGGAAAGGTTGATCTCTGGTTTCATGAGACATTGCTCAAGATCTTCATTGTGCAACATAGAACAAAATCAACAGTTAGTGGTTTTCTGATCATCATGATCAAGTTGTATATTCTAACTTGTATGCTCCAAAATGTGTGATATTGCAATTGTATGCCCAATTTTCCATCATGGAAGAAATTGATAGCTTTGATCAAAAGACCACAGATTAGCCTTTCTAGCAAATCTCTACAATTTCTTTCCTTTTCTTCATCCTAGAATCATGAAGTTGTGATCAAAATGCTACCTCAACAATAAAGTTTCCTAGCAAATAAGTGGTCTCTGCCACTGAGGATAAGATCAATGGAAGCCGCAAAAAGACTCTATTAGATGCAAAGATTTGGTATATTGATAATATATACTGACTTTAGCATCTTTGTAAGCCAAGGCAGCAGAAACCTTTTGTTAATGTGAGAAACAAAGTGGAAACTGAATCCACAATTTGCCACATAAGTTGAGGGCAAGCATTGGTATAAAACCATATTTTTATTCCTTCACGACTAAGGCAACCAGTGTGACGATCAAGTCTTATAAGCTAATTGACTCAGAAACTTTGTTGGGTCTGAAACATTGGTCCGGAATACTTACACTCAAGTTAATGATAGTCCATCCATCAAACTCTTATAAACTAACTTAAGTCTTCTTGTAGGACCAAACTAAGGGTGTCATGATTGTCTTGACTTAGCCCAATGGCATAATTGACTCATTAACTTACTGAGTCAATCACTGACCTAGAATGCTTAAGCTTAACTTAGCGGTAGTTTATATACTAACTTAAGTCTTCTCCCACTTCTGATGTGAGACTAAATTGGGGACATTACAATCTCCCCTACATAAAGGTTTTG